TTTAGTAAAATTTTGTCGTAAGCGTCTTTTGTCCACAATTTGGCAGCCACTTTGTATGAAATACGACAAATTTTCTACCAAATTAAACACACTTTTGACTCCATATCTCGGAAACTAAAGGAGATATCCGAAAATTGATAACGCCATTTTTAAGATATTGATTAGTTTAATAAGGCTGCATAACTAATTAAATGTTTACTAATGTATCGAAAAAATTATAGTCAATATCTTGGAAACTATAGGAGATATCTAAAAACTGATAACACCAATCGAAAGACCTTATTTCAAAATATATAACTGCATCTAGAACTAAAAATCGTCAAAATGGCGCTTACGAAAATCTTTTACCCAGGCGACGATAAGCACTTGCTATCGAATGTAATATCTTTATTTAAAAAGTAAACTTTTTTGTTAAAATACGATTATTTAAATATAGGCGTTTACAAAAACGTATCATCTTATATGTATTTGTATGGACATAAAGAATTCAGTATGGAAATTATGTAAATAAACCAAATTTTTAACGTTGATCAAAAATAGAGGTTTCCTAATTTGGCAAGCAAAAATTGTGCAATTTTTGCAATCCAGAAAGTTCAGTGTACATACATATGTATGTACATATATACGTATGTATATTCGGAGGTGGACTGAAACGATAACCCGCGTATTAATTGTAATCACATCCCCAAACCTCAAAATATTCTACCAAGAAGTTTTATAACGTGGTTCCTCTCGCCACTACTGTTTTAATTTCTACATATCAAATCTTCTTAAACCCCCAGAGGCAATTTTTCCAATCTTTTAAGGAAACAATTGCTCAGTTTTGACCTCGAAAATAAATGGCTACTTCTAAGATATGACCAATTTTTTAGGTGAAAAGCTTGGCCTTCTTCCCTAGGAAATTTACAACTTGGACAAAGGCAAGAATGATAAAGCTGCACAATTAGCATTTGTAAAGATGCACTTATTATGCACATAGATAGATAGATAGTTAGGTATAGCACTGCGACCGGTAGGTCTATGTACATACATATACGCATATTTGAATTCTCACATTTTTGAAACTAAACTGATGTTTTTATTTTTTAACTTTCAGCACCATGTTGGATGTAATGCAACCAGTCAACATGGATATATCATCCAAAGCCGCCGTCACAAGCCACCCCGCGAATAATGAAATCGTAGTGGTGCGTGCCAAACCGAAGAAGGTGTTCAAGCCAAAAGCGCGCATCAATCGCATACCTCAATCTTTGCTTGATGATCCAGTGCTGCAGAAGGCCATCGATCGGCTGCCCTCCAACTACAACTTTGAGTTGCACAAAACCATCTGGCGCATACGTGAAATGAAAGCTAAACGAGTAGCGCTCCAGCTGCCTGAGGGTTTGCTCATGTATTCAATGATTATAAGCGATATAATTCAACGCTTTACTGATGCCGATACTGTCATCATGGGCGATGTTACTTATGGCGCCTGTTGCGTCGACGATTACACAGCTAAGGCTTTGGGCGCCGAATTATTGGTGCATTATGGTCACAGCTGTCTCATACCTGTCGATCAGACGAGCGATATTAAAGTGCTGTATGTTTTTGTCGATATCAAAATCGATCCATTACATTTTATCGATTCCGTCAAGTTGAATTTCAAACCAACTGATGGTCAGATAGCACTGGTGAGCACTATACAATTTGTGACTACATTACAAGCAGCATCGACTGAACTGAAGGCAGCTGGTTATGATGTTATTGTGCCGCAAGCGAAACCCTTAAGCCCTGGCGAAATATTGGGTTGCACCTCGCCCGACTTGCCGTCCAGCACTAAGCAGCTAATTTATCTCGGTGACGGACGCTTCCATTTAGAGTCAGCCATGATTGCGAATCCCACTTTGAAGGCGTATAAATATGATCCCTATGAAAAGAAATTCACAATCGAAGAGTATGATCATCGTCAAATGCAATCGATACGTTACCGAGAAATCGAACGCGCCAGAGCAGCCAAGAAATTCGGTATAATAGTGGGGACTTTGGGGCGTCAAGGGAGTAGTCGTGTACATCGATTCCTCGAAAAGCGTTTACACCTCAAAGGTTATGCAACGACAACAATTTTGCTCTCAGAGATCTTTCCACAAAAGTTAGCACTCTTCACCGACATTGACGCATTCGTGCAGATCGCTTGTCCACGTCTCTCGATCGATTGGGGCTCTGCATTCGCTAAACCACTCCTGAATCCATATGAATTGTCTGTTGTGCTTGGTGATGTGGAATTTACACCTCATAACACTGCACCAAAAACTAATGCATATCCCATGGATTTTTATGCAACCGGCAGTCTGGGTCCATGGACACCCAATTTCAAACCGCCAGCAGTGGGGGAATGCGATAATAAACCGTCCGAAGCGTGTTGCGGTCGCTGTGTGCGTGCCGAATTGGAAAAGGATGACAGCGATGCAGCGCGTGCGGCTACAATAGAAGACATTTTGGATTTCAAGAAGGGATAAGCGAACAAATATCGTAGACTACATTTTTAAATATACATAAACAAAAGCAAAGGGGTTAAAAATAAAGAAGCTTAGGTTTAGTTAGTTTAGCACATTATTGTGATGTTATTCTTTTAAATAGGGAAAGAGAGAAGAAACACAATGAGTTAACTGAATCCATAATAATTAGGCTTGCATAAGTGTTGGTAAACTTATAAAGCTACAAACTCCTTTTGTAAATGTGTAATTTATCACTGCTGCTATGTTTTAACGAGTTTACTATTTAAATTTTGCTTAATATTTTTATGTTTATACATATTTAACATTTTAGTATGTATTCTTGTACCTTAAGTTACGAATATATTGTAGCATTTTGATTTAGTTAGCTTCATTTATTTAATGCTTAGTAAGTTTTTTTTTTAATAAAAAGTTTTGGCATTATGTTTTTGTTTTTTTAAGTTACACTTAATTTAATAATGTGAATATGCAATAACTGCAATATTAAAAATGCGTGTATAATTGCAGTGTAGTTCCGAATAAACAAATATGAAATTTATACGTACATTATTATATTATTCACTTACTAAAATAAACTTGGATTTGAATTTTACGAGCCAACATGGCCTATGCCACAGTTATATTGTGACTTTTGCCAATACGCTAATTGGTTTCAATAAAAGTATCTGACTAATGTAAATGAGGCTATGAAAAACAGCATTTTGGCATGGCAGGAAGCTTCGTGTACATACGTATTTCAAGTGGTGCCGGCAAATGGCAAGCTAATTATAACTGCGGCTTTGTTTATCGCTGCAGTGTGTGCCAAAAACGACATTTCGTTCGGAAGTTAGCACACTAATGGTCGTTAGTAGGGTTTCTACGAGTCAATTGGGATTGAACGTAAAACGTCACACACGCTGTTGTTTTGCGTCTGCGTTATTCCAACCCTGTAAGAGGTCGGGGAAGTTTTCAATGGCTCATCTGACTGTAGTTCTAGAACCATGTGAAAAGGTCTTTTATGTTGCGAGTCCCTCTCCACATGTAAGACAAACATTTGATATACCGGCACTGATTCTGGCTGGAAAGGAGTTCAGTCTAATTCAATATTCAGAAATAAATTTGGTACTCTGGTTTCCCTGTCCCGAGGAGGCATGCCATATGTTGTTCGTAATTTATCGTTCTGGTAGGACTGTAGTCTTGACCTACTCTAGTGGCTGGTGTCCATATTGGCGCAGCGTAATTTAAAAGCGACTGCCCTTTCGCCTGGTGTACTGACAGTAAGGTGCACACACAAGAAGACGAGGCTGTCAAACATGACGTCTAAGATTTTTTGGTTGTTCACGGTCGGAATTGGAGTACGATTAAGGTCGGTGTTATGCAGACAAACTTTTGTTTGCCAAATTAAATGGCGGCTGCTAAGTTTGCTCGGAGGTGGTTATGTCGAGTTTGGCACAGGGTTGCACGTTCATTATGGTTTTCATGGCTATTGCCAACACGAAATGAGAATTTCAGATGTACATAAGGCCCTGTCTCCACAGGAAAACACTGATGTCGTGATAACCATGTCACAAAATATATTTCCAATGGAGACCGCCTATTTCTTATGTGCTGCAATATATGTCAGCGCTTATTGCTTGACATCTATTGCAGGCAATTCGATAGTTTGACAGCCATATTTTCATTTGAAAGAAAGCGTGCTGGTGGTAACATCGATGAAATTTTGATATTAAATCAAAATAAAAATCTGTTCCGTATTGGATAATTTATGATTACGTTTTAGGAAATTATTTAGCTAGTTTTTTAAAGATTTAAATGTTTTTAAACACCGAAATTGAGAGAATGTTGTCTGGTGGCGTCATGCGGCAAATGCTTATTTCAAGACATCAAAGTGCCCACACACAAAAACTTGCAATCACATTGCTCGTCAAAATGACAGTTGGTAGGCCATCGCTGTTCGCCTGTGGAGTTCTGCGGTAACGCGCAAAATTTAAAATTTTTGTATATGACAACACCGAATTTGCTGCAGTTAGACCAAGGCGAATTTATATAAGGTGGTGTTGTTTCATCAGCTGTGAGTAGCGTTTGATTGTCAAAATTTTGAATTTCGTTAGTGAGTGAGTGAAAACGTGAGAGTGTTTGCATTTTCTGTCGCCCTTTTGCATTCGGGGAAGAATAGCTGAAATTTGACAATGGCCCGCTAAAAGCAAAAACAAAATACAAGTAATTGTTGTATTTGTTCAATCGACACCACCTTATGTGTATTCGCCTTGAGTTAGACCAAACAAAATTAGTTTGCTGTGAGAGTCGTCAAACTCGCTCTCTCCGAGTTTGCTGCAACAACAATTGCACGCAGTTTGCCAAACAAAATTTCTGCATAACACCGACCTAACTTATAAAGTCTAGTGTCTATCCGTAATTTCCTAATTAAGGCCTTTACCTATCAGCTGCATTTCCGCTTCCGTTAAACGTTTGACATTTCCGCTATTCCCACGGCCACATTTTTACACACCCAAAATCAATTGGTGCGGCTGTGGCAGCATTCCACATTGTTTTTGTCTATCTTTTCCCACATTTTTCGCCTTTTTTCTGGTCTTTTGTAATTTTTCGTATTTGTTATTAAATTTTCAGTGCTTAATTAAATCGTAAAACGTCTAGTGCATTAATTTTCATAGTAATATTAATACCTTAATTTAAAAATGCTGAAAAGTAGTAATATCGAGAGGTACATAAATGACTGAAAACAATATAATCAACCGCAAGGCCTTTCTCAGCTCTTCGCAAAGGGTCGGAAAGCCACAAGTGCTACAATGATAACGAGCCAACGGACAGCAACAAAAAGAGCTGTACAAGTATCTGGGTCATAAACAAATTTATTGACGCTGCGCCGTCTATTAACGATAGCATAACACGCAATATACCTGCGTTCTAATCTTGTTTTTCAATGATAAAATATTGTATTTCAATTCCAGTATTATTAATGCTGTAGAAGCGGGAGGTCAGCAACCGAGGCCACAACTGCCGTTAGCACTGAATAATACCAGCTCGAATGAAGCAGATGAAGTGTACATACCACAAGGGAGCAACGCCTACGCTGCATCACTCTCAAATACTTTTGGTAAAAACGATGACAGTGAGAATAGTAATGATAATAATGTGCCAACAACAAAGCAGGCAAGCAGTGAACAAACACCAGATTCATTGGCCACCAAACAGTTGACCGCAGGTTTATTGCAAATATTCGAGCCACCACTAGCAAAAGCGCGCGGTCAGCTGAAAGAACTCATGTAAGTTGCATGAGATTTGAAACAGTAAAAAACTGTACATATGTATGTACTTAGTTCTCTATTGTTTTTGTATAGTGGAAAGCAGAATAAAATCTACATTGATTTATCGGCTGAGAAATACAAATTAGATGATGCTGAAACGACGAGGTTACATGAAATGGTAAGTGTATACCTTGAAGAATAAATTCTATTGTTAAAAATTAAAGCAATTTCCATTGATTCATTTGAATTTGAATTGTTGATCTGATTTGAATATAAAGGATGTCAAGATTACATGTATTAGAAGCCGTCATCGATTCGCCAACAGTTAGCGAGTGGCGAAACGAACGAACTCAATGAGGAACAGCCAAACTCGCTATCGTCTATCCGTGCTAGCTAACTTTGTTGTTGCTTTCACATGCAAAATTCTTCTTTAAGCGACCGGAACTCAAACATAGCGAGCGAAAAGTGGCGAATCGATGACGGCTAGAATTTCATTAACTTCATTGTGCTACATACATTAGAATTAAACTTTCTGCTTGAACATTTTATATTTACTAAATTTTCGATGAAGTATCATTAACCACATCAACAATCAACGTATTTGAGTCAGAGTACCAAGTAGTCAAGAGGCCTTCCACTGTGCATCCATTTCTCCTTTTTGTTTTATATAGAGCGGCACAAGTTGAAGAGCTTCTACTTTCACTACCCATATAAAGAAGGTAATTTATACTTTCGCATAAATTTTAAATCGGAAAACCCCTACTTGGAGGCATGTAATGAAGCACTTTTTAATGACTTCATTTAAGAATGCCTACATAAATTATATAATGGTTAGTATATAACTAAAACGAAAATGTTTATGGTTCGCGTTTATCTGAAGTCGCAACGTTCAACGATATATGTATGTATATCAGCAATTCAAAACGGAACAATGTTATATCTTTGAATATCATAATATTATTTATTACATTTGTGTTTATGGACCTCACTTCGTTTTATTACAGATGAACAATGTAAAAATTTATCGCGAGAAATTGGTGAAGATAAAAAAACAAATGCAGAATATTTATCAGCGCACCAAAGTTTTGAAGGTATGCGTTTTATTTAAGTTTTATGATTCTGTTTGCTGTTAGCGAGGAGAAGAAACCTTAACAATTCTTTTTTGTTCAATAGAAACGCGCATTTAACGTGCAAGTGTGCAAGCAAAAAGAGCTCCAACGCAAATTGCAAAAGCAGCAACAAGAGGAGTCCTTAATCGCCAAGCAACAGCAGCAGCAACAACAACAGTAGAATTAAGCAGCGCAACACGTGCAGTGAAACAAAATCAAAGGATTTTCGGTAGAATTTTCAGAATGTTTATACAATATCCGTTATATATTGAAGTTAGGTTAGGTTGAAGTGGCTGCTAGGCCCAGAGGGCGCCAGCACACCATGTTATTGAAGTTAAAAATAATAATAATACTGAAAGACTTGCAATTTGTTTTAGTTATTAAAGAATAGATTTTGATTATATTTTATATAAATGTAGTACCATATATAATTAAAATACACTAATATAAAGGTTTAATAAAAAATGCCCTTAAGCATTATCATGCTTAATGTAAAACGAATACATGCTTGCAATACAATTTGCCTAATTTAAGATGAATTGTTCTGTATGTATGCAGCTACTTTACTACTCAATTATTCAAAGAAATACGCTTTTTTTGTGCTAAGGGCAACATTTGAGCACAACGTTATAATGCTTTGGTTTTGAGGTATAAAGTAAAAAGCCTTAGCAAACTAAAAAGTATAATTTAAAATTCTTAACTACATTTTAAAAATGTTAAATCTTACTACACTACACTGGCATGATAATTATATTTTATAGCGATTTTATATGTAGTTAAAATAAAATTTAATTCCAAAATACAAAGTATTTAGAGACTTACCATCAACTTATAATTAGCTATTAAAGCACACAGGCGTGCTACTTTGCACATAAATTAAAATAGAAATGAAATATTAAAATGTAGCTGGTGGATAGACGAAACTGCTTTCGTTACGTAAACCGCATGCAAGTTACTAATTCGTAATTTGTAATAATCTATAGCTATCAAAACAATTGCGCTAAATTTGACATCAACTATAAATGCTTATTTGTGTAGATATGTAAAATGTACAGTTCATCGCGAATACACTCAAATGCTACAATGTCAAGAATTTCAAAAATACCATACACATTTACAATTCCGTAGATTATGTACGTAGTTTTTTGTTGTTGTTTTTGTTTTCCTTCTAATAAGTACGCAAAAGATTCACAGCTCATAGTGAGAATAGAACATCAAAGCAAGAAAAGGCAGCTGCCGCGTGCTCAAAGCCGATATATTGCAGCTACAGACCTGCTGCACGCACACATTAGACCGGGAGAAACTGGCACACGCCATAGACCAGTTGATTACTTATAAGCGGGAAATCTTTTTTTTTTGTTAATCGCTTTACTTAAGCGACAATACTGTATTCTGGTTCGTTGAGCATATGCATCGCATCGTGGGGCGTCAAATATTTCACCGTTCCTGGAAAAGTGTCAATGTTCGAGGAATGAGAGAAAAGAAAAATAAAATGTAGAAATGTAAGTTAAATAAATGCAATTCAAACATAGAAGCATATAGAAAAATAAATCTAAATACAAAATACATATGCATATGTACGCTAATAGATGTAACAATACGCAAAACTCATATATAGTACTAATACATCTATGTATGTAGGTAATTGAATTTGTTGTCCAGACCGAAGTTTCATTTGCATGCAATACGTTTGCTAGACTTGCTCACTGCTCCATTGTACTTGGAGATAAGAATTAATAGACTCTGTAATAATTGCTATACATATATTTTTATGAGCGCAGTAAATGATAAACTTATCAGCGTTGTAAGGAATTGGAAGTAATTTTGAAAATAAAATATTTAGATTGTACATATGTATGTAGGTAGTTATACATATGTGCTCCAAAAGTAGTTCATTTGATAAGTTTTCTTGCTTATGAAACTCAAACAAATGATTTAATCTCGATGCCTGAGTGGAAGATCGACCTATCTCGGCAGCCAGTTCGAAAACGCTCTATCTCAAAAAACTTTTCAAGAACGCCCTATTTCAGAATTTAATTGAAAAACACCCTATCTTGAAATTCGGTTCAAAAACGCCCTATCCCACTTCAAAATGTATTGAAAATATGCTGATATAGAGCGTTTTTGAATCGGCAGCTGAGATAGGGCGTCTTTGAAACAAATTCTGAAATAGGGCGTTCTTGAAAAGTTTTTTGAGATAGAGCGTTTTCGAACTGGCTGCCGAGATAGGTCGATCTTCCACTCAGCCATCGAGGATTATTTTTTTCGATCTTTACTATAAAATCAAAGGAAATACTCATAATTTGCTGATTATACATATTTAGGTAATCAAAATTTGTACTCCGTTTTGAGGCATAACAGTTATATATTTTTAAGTACTAGCTAGTTTGTAATGGTTGTATCTTGATTATACATCATATGTAAACAAAGAAAATTTAATTTGTGCTCGATTTCATTATTATTGACTTTAAATAAGAGCAGCACGTCTAAACTAATGCTTGTTATATAGTGGAGACGGATTTCTCTTTATTTGGAAGGCGTTTCCTTTGAGTTTTTCGCAAAAGCTTTAGTTTTTCTGTACTATTTGATCATTGATTTGACTTTTGTTCTTCGACCATAAGCATTTGATGGTTTTTGTTGTTGTACCATCATAAAAATTCCCAAAAGGGTTTTTGGAGAATCAGATGGAGCGACGTTCTTGGCCCGATATAAATCAGGGTCGTTCTGGCTCCGTAGGCCCGACTGTCGGAGGAACATTATTTGGTTTACATATATGTATGTAATGCAAAAAATATACAAGTTAACGATACATACTAAATTATTTGTAAATTATTGTTTTTCACACAAAGTCTAAAACAACAAACTGAAAATTATAATTGTAACTTTCACGTAAATCACAAAACGAAAAAAATAACATGCAATACATATAGACTATCAAACATATGAACTACATACTTTTCATTACAAAATACTAACTACCCAACAAACATTTAAGTTAGAGAACGATTAGAAACCGATTCGAATTCTAATGAGTTTTACCAAGGAAGAAGGTTATAAGACGATTAGATAAACTGTCGAGAATTATAGCATACTCTACAAAATGGGAACTAAGTTCTCGATATCGAGAAAAAGGTTAGTATCTAATCTCATACTAACGTTGAATTCTAATTGGTTTATAATGTATAGTATTTTTTCTAATCATTTTCTAATCGAATTCTAACATAGTTCTCTTACCTTAGAGAAACATTAGAGAACTGCATTATAATTCTAATGTAAATCAAATGTTTCTCTAACGTTGATGACTGTGTTTGCAGGGTACCTGAATAAGTATTAAGCAAGCAGTCTGTACATGCAAATATTCATCTACTAGGAAATATTTTGAAATTACCTGACGAAAGCACTTAAGTGCTCGAAAACAGCGAAACTTTTACTGAACTTTTAAAATTTGTTGAAAATTTTGAGCTCCGAGCTTTCTGCTTTTCGGTGTACTCCTTATTTATGTACACATTTCAATTTTGTTTTCATTTAAGAAATGCAAATAAAAGTTTTTCATTCGAGGAATTTAGTATTTATTCAAAGATTCACACAATAAGCACCTGACTGTTATATAAAAGTATCAAACGTCTTAAAAATAAACTGGCTAGCAGGAGTAAAGAAGAGCCCTGTTCTCGATTTGAACTTGGTTTTAGAAATAACTTATTTTAGTATAAACTATCACTGAGATAGCTTTTTTTCACTTTTAATAAAGTGATTTTATAGCATCAAAAATCGTGGGAAAAATATAAGTTCAATAAAAAACTATCTGTACATAAAAATATTGCGGTAATACTTGCTATGCCTAGGGCGTTGCTCTGCTATTCACCGTTTTCGGTGGCACTTTTTACGTACTAAATTACTTATTATATTTTTTTTTTATCAACCTTTTAAAATCAACTTAAATCCACGTCAGTAAATTCAGCGTTAACACCTTTAGGCGTTTTTGCATTTACTGTCCATATGTAACCATTTTCTGCTGGTAAATAGTTCACTTCGTGCGCAACATTATTAACTTCCGTTTGCTTACCATTTGTATCAACAGCATTGCGTTGCAAATATATCTGCACACATACATGCACAACAAATACAATGAAGGCGAAAATTCCGAAAATCAAGAAGGTTCCGCTACCGCTTACAGCGGCAAAGAGATTGCCAGCAATGAGACTGCCCATTGATACGCCCACACCTTCAAAGACTGCACCGACTAGGCCCTGCATCAAACATATGTTTTTTTTTTGTTTTAATATCAATAAAAAGTAGAAATATAAAGCGTTTGTTTAGTCCAACCACTCACCTGCATAGTGGCCTCTGTGCCCGGTGGCGCTACAATACTCGCATACGACGCCATCGTTGAGTAGAAGATACCAAATGTAACACCATTCAACATTTCAATAGGCAGCACATACCATGGATTTACCAGCACAGAATAGAGTATGAAACGCACGCCAAATGCGAATAGCACCAAACTCATTGCATTAACGTGACCGATTTTCCTTAATATCCAACCAGAAAGGAAGAAAAAGGGCAGCTCACCACCGAAACATTGTATGCCCATGGCAAAACCCTCAAGTGTTTTCATGGAATTTTGACAGCCTTCAAGTTTTTCGCCTAATTCATCCAAATGCATAAAGAGAAAGTTCCAAACGAGTGCCGTGCATAGACCAATCGAAACGCACCAAATGAAAAATATCACACAACGTACTGAAAGGAACATTTTACCGACATCTTTGAGAATGTTGGGTGAGAGGTGGGTTTGTGTGTGCTGTAATGAAAGAAAATGCGAATGAATTATTTAACAAATAAAACAAAAAATGATAGTTAAACGAATATAACGTAATTATTAATGCAAAAAACACTAACTGATTTTTTTTTGGAAAAAGTTATTTTAAATATGAGTATGCTAATATGGGACACAGTTACACACTTTTAACAAATTGTAAAACAATATCGTGAAAAGATACTGGATTTATTGAGATTTTAATTAATATGGGTCGCGCTTTCTAACCCAGTCTTAAAAAAAAAGCCCTGTGCCTCTGCTATACAATTTCAAATTTGTTTTTTTTGCACCTTTTTCATTAACAATATAAGTATGTACTTGCATTTCATACATCGATCATTCACAACCTCTTTGACTTTAATGTTATAAAAATAAAAATCATACCTTTAATTTCGTGGATGATATTAGGTCAAATCCAATTATCACCAAAGTCATCCAAAATACGATTGTATAGTCTTTAGTAGCACTGCCGCCAGACATTTTATCTACTAGCACACCAGCGATAATGGAAAATACACCGAAACCTATGGAGCCGCACAATCGCTGATTTCCATATAAATGATGTCGTTCACCCAATATCGAAAAGCATATGGCATCACCGATGCTCACCACCACCGCCATGCCAATCCAGCTCACAATGAGCATGATAAAAAAATACCAAAATTGATACATGCCCGTCACATCACTGTTCTTTATCGCTGCACTCTGCACCAGTTGGCTATGGAAATATTTATCATTGCATTCAATCTGACAGCTTGTATTGAATTGTGACTGTTCACGTGGACAATTTAAAGTTATATTTTCCCCATTAATTTGACCTTGATCGTGTGGTATGACAAAGAACAGATGGTCACTTGCCATCACAATTTCGCTCATATTGACAAATGTTGTAAAGTTTAGTTGTGGATTATTGCGATCAGGACAAGTGACATTACTTGTAATACTGCCGGCGCTGTTGTTATGTAGCCAGTTGTCACAAACGAAGTCCCATTGCTCAGGATTAGCTTGACAGTATAGCTGGCAAGTTAGTACGCGATCGCCATAGTAACTTTCGAGATTCTGTTCTATGCACTTATCAAATTCGGAATAATATTTGAGATCGGATGCACCACCGTGACAGTGAAATTCTACAGTAGGCAAGGATTGTGGAATGGATGGCGTAAATTGTATGAGGAAGAAGGCCACGGCGGTGAGTACTTCACCGATAAGGAAAAGTGTTCGATGACGTTGATAACTGCAAGAGAGGCAAGATTTTTTTTTTAAATGAGTTGCAATAGCTACAATAAGGAGTTTTAAAAGATATACATATGTAAATAGAAATATGTATTTTTTAGGAGCCATTTAAGTCGAGTAAACAGAAAATACCCGCACTTAGTTACTTTTTGATTGGTTTTTGTAATGTTTTGAAGAGGCACCTAGATTTTGATCAGCTATCGAAATTGGGCCGTATGAACAAAAACTAAGCAATTGCTTTTTCTTAAACTTTCATACCGTTTACTTCAATTTTGTTTGAATAAATCGAGTAAAATGTCTGATATTTAAGAAAAAGCAATTGTTTGTTTTTATTCATATGGCCCAATGTCTTTAAATTATTTCCTTTAGATGTGTTTAAGTTCTTTAGTCAGAGTGCTATTTAGATGAAGAAATTACCGTTCATTATGAGAACGGAGATTGGTATAATTGGCGACTAAAACCAGCTCCTCAAAAGGATCGATGAAGGTTTGCGAAACTAAAATTTTAAAATTTGGATCTCTTTAAATTTCAAAACTGTTGAAATGATAACGACATTAACTGTATACATATCTGCATAAAACTATCCGGGCAAGCGCATGGTAATTGAAAAGACTTCCACAATCAATTGCTCCACTTACCGATCTGCTATAAATCCAAATAGCGGTTTCGCTAACATGCCAACGATCGGCAAAATTGCATACATTGTGCCTACCACCACTGTAGAGAAGCCTAATTGACGCGCCAATGTGGGCATGAAAGGCATTACCGGCGCCGTTCCTGAAAAAAGAATGCGATAATTGTAAATTATACAAAGACCAAAGTAATAATAGTGAGTAATAGAAAGAAGTGTTAAATTGATCACACGCAAATGTATTGAAACAGCCAATTGATTTTTAATAAAGTAGACGCGAAAATTCAAAAAAAGTAAGTATCCAGTTATACTTGCAAACATGTGCATGTGAGTGCAAAAGTTTGCGAAAAATAATGTACAAGTGTGACGAAAGGAATGATAGCCACATGCGGCAAAAAATTAAATTAATTGTCACCAAGTGGTAATCGAACTTTTCAAGTGGTATATTGAACTTAAACGTATGTATGTATGTTTGCATTACTTTTGTCTGTATTATTAACAGTTTGCTAGCTTAAAATTGTTAAACGCTTGTTTTAGAGGTTGAAAACGTACCTGCATTAAAAAAGAAATAATGCGCCTTCATAGGCAGTAGCTCCTTATCGATTTTTGGCCACATGGTTACTCGATTTCGTTGCGCTCTCGACTTGAACTTTCTGCGCGCTAATCGTGACTAACTACTAATTATGAACAGTCTTGTATATCGTTCAAGTAATCGCTCCCGTCGTGAATGAAAACTTTTTCTAAAATAATCTTTATACATACGTGTTGTTTGAAATCTAACCTTTTATTGAAGTATCATCTTAGTATAGTTAACTTACCGTTGATAACAAAGTAGTTTTGTTTTTGTCTTGTCTTGTTTTGTTTAATGTTGATACAAGTGATTAAATTCTGGTTGATTAGTGCGCGTGTTAAATGGATATAGGTAGATATGATGACGCTAATCATTACTTTAAAAATTCTTGACGAAGCTACATTTCCATCGTGCTGGATCCCTTTGTAGGCGAAAAAATTCTCCTGAAACGATTTTAAGCATTAATTGCTGAGTATACAACTATTGAACTTGTTTATTCAAAAGCTTTAAATTACATACATATTTCTGATAGCCGTGGGTTTATTGCTCCAAAAAAAAAAATTGTATTTGCTGAGGCGAGCACTTTCCTAGCACTTTACGACAAACGATTATAAGCGTTATGTTTAGCTACTAATGCGTCGTATCACATCGAGTAAGTTGCGTTGAAATGCGGTGTTATAGAATGCACTTCGCACTTATGTATTTCTACTACAGTAGGGTTAATAATCATGCCAATCGTTGACAGCTGATTAGCTAAAAATAAATGAATACGGTAAATGGTTATAGCTAAGTAAAAACTGGCATTGGTCTTTTTACACTATTACTAAATAAGTTTGATTGCTTTAAATTGTTAAATGCATATTGCTATCTTTGTATCAAACGAACTCATTCCAACGACTTTATAATTAGCACAAGAAATTATACTGTGCAAGAAATTAACTAACCTCAATTATAACTGAGTCAATTTTCACAGCCGAGTGTTTGTAGTTCTACATTTTTGTATTTATCGTGCTACGTGCATGCATAAGTCATCACTTGGTTGAATTGCACAATTTTCTCACATGGCGTTCAGCACACTTCCTTCCAACTTTCTTATTAGAATTCTCACATCTAATAAAATGATCTAACTTCCTATACATACTTACATTTCCTTCTTGTTGCTTTATCCGGATTGTACGCGCGCAGATCAGATCGTTCGTACTTTTAACCCTTTCGCTCTTTGTGACGTTTAGTTCAATGTGTTAGTGAAATTATTAAAAACATTTATTAAATATAAAACTAACATGGACTTAAGCGGATTAAGCAACATCCTCTCTTGATTCCACGAAATGCATTGACCAAGGCAAGGCGAATTCATTCAAGGTGGTGCTGTCAGAACAGCTGAGATTTTCGTCGAGGTGGCTGTGAACGTCAAAATCATGTGTTTGTTGTACATTTGTTGTGATGCTTTCAGTGCTGCCGTTTGATAATTTTCGAGTGAGGTGTTTCTGAGCGCTTTAGAAGTAAAAATGGAGTGATTATCGTAGTGACGAAGCAAAATTAGGATTGATTTAAAATTTTCCTCTATCCCGATGCAGGCTTCCTCCTGTAAAATTAAAGATGTATGTAAACTAAAATATATTTGATATTTTCATCAAATATTCACTAAATAATTATGAGCCTTTCATGTGTAAATTAAAATAAAAATGTCGGTTAGACCAATTTGCTGCAACCAAAACTCTGATTGGAGAGAGATGTTGCCAGCCGTCTGTTGCGCAGGAATGTTGCGGTGCGTCTAATTCCACATGTTGCTGTGGATATTCAACACGAAAAACCAGTGGCGGTATCGGGAGGGACTTTTTAGTGAGCTTTTTTTGCTAAAACAATATAAAGTGATAAACACATAGTCGACATTTATTCCTTTTACATATACTTTTTTATTATGTTACGGAAGTTGGCAATTAAAAATCCTGAAATGTAATCAAATCATACAAATGTTCTTGTTGCGCAATATATGTAGTTGCAAAGCGCCCAGTGCCATATGCTGCTGTCTGATATTCAACGCGAAAAACCAATGGCGACTTAGCAAGGAGTCTGTATTTAGCTTTTAAAATTCGGTATATTTGCTAGTACTATTTACAATTGAATAAACACATGCTTTTTATAATACATGTATAATTAAATAAAAACCAAATGAATTAAGTTTAAATGCACTTTTTAAACATTTTCGTTTTTATTTTTAAATGATTTTTGTTTAAATAACTCATCTTGATTACTGCTAACAAATGTTGGCATGATTTTAAATAAAACTGCTCCCTCTATTTTTTCTTTATGAAGGTGCATACCTATACTTTCCTTGTCATAAGTTCAATTATAATGAACTTCAACAGCAAATAAAACGAAATTAAATAAATTGCAGTAAAGTTTAAGTAAGATTGAACTAATAAAAAATATAATTCAAAAATTGACAACCAATTTACATAAATGTGTGTGCCAATTCAGAAAATTGGCAATTTAATCGTAAATATGGCTGTAGTGCTGTTGATAAACGTGTATATAGTTTTCTTTTTCTTGCTGCGTCATTTGAGCTATAAGTTCATCATTGATTTGATCGATTGGATGTGGTCGTCCGGAAACATGCACTGTAGGAATATCGTCATCATCGTCTTCTGATTCGGAATTGATAAAGTTATTGTAATCAACTTTGGCTGCAAGTAAGCAATGAAGAAGTGCTAAGTAATTACTAATACCTTCATACATATAAGGGCCGCAGTCCCTTGCTACTCACGTATTTTCATATTATCTATGTCCTTGTCGTCATCACTAGAATCACTAGAGTCTGCGTTCGACGATCCATATTTAAGTCCTTTTGCTGGAGAATCCTTTTGATTGGTTTGCTTTTCGTGTTGTAGCAACACCGACATAATATCTTCATTCTCCTTTTTGCTGCGATTATTTGTTGAACCACCCACGCTAATCGTATGCTGCGTGGATGATTGTGCCGCTTCGTTCAAAATGGCATCGGTGGCATCATGATTGTCTTCCGTTATAACCGTACTCTCTGTCATCCAGACTGGGCGTGCCTTACGTTCGGTAACAGCTTCCTGTACATCGCCGCCAATACTAACATCAACACGCGTTTCTTCGACTGCAAAACCTTGATTACGTGTCGCCTCTCCGGACCATTGTTGACCATCAGGCCGCTGATTGAGAGGTTTGTTCAGGCTAAAGGTCGGAACAAGAGAAAAATATGAAAATTTTCATAGCATAAAGAAAGTCGAATCATACCCTCGTATTGTGTCGATATCANGCGCTGATTGAGAGGTTTGTTCAGGCTAAAGGTCGGAACAAGAGAAAAATATGAAAATCTTCATAGCATAAAGAAAGTCGAATCATACCCTCGTATTGTGTCGATATCAACAGGTTCGGGTTCAAGTATTTCCGGCGCTAACTTAATGCCTTCCACTTCCCGTAATAGATCATAAAGTGGTTGTAATTGCTCGTTAAATCGCGCCAGCATTAAACGCGAGTCTTTCTTTGGCATCGCAGAACTGTCTTCCTCCACAGGACTGCCGCAGTATGTACAGCGGAATTCGCCTGTTGTGAAATCAAAGAGTTGATCGGCTTCGAGATCCGTAAATGTTTTATCGCAGTTTGTGCATTTGAAACTGGCACGACTGGTGGCATCACGTTCTTCTGTTTCCATACGCTTGCGCATCAAATCCAATTTATATTTGACAACATTCACAAATGTCTTATAATTAATGAAATAGTAGTTGACCTTTTGTGCTTTGCCATCAGGTCCTGTCTCCATTTTTAAACGGATCTGTATAAATTTGTCATTGCGCAAAGTTGAGATACGTGCGCGCATTTGTTTCTTTTCGAAACGTAATAGCTCTGCAATATCATCTTCCTTCATGCAAGGATTTCGCACCAACATGTCAATTATGAGCGCATCTTCGATCGAGTAAAAGCCGCGGACAACAAGACGAGCCAGTTGCTTTAGACTGCTTGGTACTTCGGTGACATACTTGGTTTCGGTGGCATTAGCCATTGTTCAGGAGAACCGAATATCAAAGGCCTAGAATTGTGGCGAAAAATAACATTCTCACTATGAAAATAATGTTAGGCGCTTGCTTATCTCCGCACTAATTTTAGGTAAAAATTATTAAACTAAAAAATACTGAAAAATTGCAAATTCGAAAGACGTCTCGCGCTTAAATCGATAGCTAAGAAAGTTCCGAGATTTTTGTACTTTTACGAGTTAAAAGAATAGTCCTAGACACCTCAGTTCTTACCGGCCCACTAACCCCCTTAACCCTACAAACATCCGGCACTGCTCTTTGAAACATATGCTCTGCGTCTGCGCCGCAAAACTCACCTTCAATTACAACATGTTGCAGCTACATTTACTACGCAATAACAACACAACCTTATTTTCCACAGCTTAGCAACACGCAAGGGAGGTGGAATCCGAACGAAATTTCAGTTTTGACGCGCGCATTCGGGTGAAAACAAAGAAAAATTCGTGAAACTTA